AGTCTGCCAACCCTCACCCCACTGGAGCTTAAATCCACCGGAGGCAGCACAACCTACCCTACGTACATGTCTTAACAGACACAGAAACATGCTTAAGCCACCTAAACAGGAAAAAAAGAGCACAGTAAGAACTGCTACACACAACAGCACAAACATCGTACCTTTCCCTGCTGCCTTCTGTTAAAGGCAAAGCCTCGGCTGCGGTAAAAGCAGCACGAGGGGAAATGGTTCCTTCTAGCGCCTGCAAGGGCTCTGGTGCAGACGGGCAACAGTCTGAGCTCGATTCTGTGCGGAGGTCTGGGTCACCGCAGGGTTTGCGCTGGCTCGCCATCCGGAGGCACAGATACCTGCTGGGTGAGAATGAACCTGCCACTTAGAAACCCCCGAGCCAGAGTCTCAGGGGCATCGTGACGACCAGCCCTTGTAGCATAATTAATCAAAACGGCACAAATACTAAACAGAAAACACGTCGAACTGCAGAAGCAGCACCATAAATAGAAAGAGAGGCGAGATGGTGATTCCAGAGGAAAAAAAAAACACGCCTCAAAACCACAAAGAATTCAGTGACACTCGGAAGACGACCAGGGATAAAGAACTCAAAGGTATTTATACAACACTCGCCACAAAGAGATCAGTGATTTCTGCGTTACACAAACACGTGTGGATGCACACACACACGCAGGCATCACCGAACGCAGGCAGCACACAAGCATCTCGCCTGTTTTGATGCTGTTGAGAGCGAGCAGCAGCGCTGGGAAGTGACACGGTTCAGTGCCATGGCAAGACTGTTACGGAAACGCTGAGCCATCAGCCTCTCTTTCTCAGAAAAGACCGTTCTCAGGTCAAAAGTACCCGCACGCAAAAGCTGGGGCACCCGTTGCGATACGGAGACATTTATAATTAAAACCCATTAATGTATTCGTAAGTACTTGGAGACTCATCCCGCCTTCCCCAGCAGCTCTCCCTTAAGCAGGTGATACGGCGCAGACGCAGGGTGGGGTATTCATCCCCGTGTTTCTTGGTACTCCCACCTCGTGTGGACGATATATTCCCGTAGTAACTGAGGAGTGGGAAAGTTTGGGGGGGGCCAAGCCTTGGAATGCAAAGGTGCAAAAAGCGAAACAACAGAACTTTAGGTAGAGACACTGAAACTCAGCAGGCGCGGTGCTCCAGTCACGGTAGTAGCACCCAGCGACACCCAACTGTATCTTAATTTGTCTGTGCACCACTACCCATGTACGACTGTCATCAGCACTGGCTGGTTAACGTAGCTGGTTAAAAAAAGTTTAAAAAGCGGATGCATTACTGACGGAATTCCACGTGGTCTCCTGGAAGGGAACAGGTGTTACTAGGGGGTTTTGTACTGTTGGTTTACAGGGAGACAGCGGCGGAGCGTCAGCGTGCCATCACCCTAGCGCTGACAAACACCCTCAAAGGGATTGTGAGTTTTGGAGTTGGCTGCGGCCAACAATCCCAAAATTTCCTGGGATCTCTGTCTTGTCTAGCTCAACCCAGAGGACGGGCAGAATCCGAACTGCTGTTGAGGAACAAGGCCGTGGATGCCGCGAGCGCTGCACTTGCCATCGTTCTGACTGTGCCGCGCCCAGCGCTTGGGCAGACCTTCCGAAGGGCCAAAGCACCGTGTCATCACTGCAGAGCTCCGGTCCGCCTGGGCAGCCCTTGACAAGCGAGCTGCCTCCTGTTTCAGCACAAATCTCAGAGCCAAGGGACAGGCACTTCGTTTCCAGAAGTCACGTTTGCAGTGGTGTGACCTCTTTTGTTTTCTGCCTTTGATACCCACACTAACAGCAGAGGAAACGGCAACGGCCTCGGCCCTGATAACGAAATGGAATACAGAGATGGTACCAACCGAAAAGGCTCTTTCCCCACCCTATTCCTGCGCTTTCCCAGCCGTCAGCAGCTCAGGCGCTACCGGTAACGCCACCGCGGTTTTGCGGACGGCAGAGACGCTCCCTCTGCCGGGTGAACACCCGCAGAGCACAACGGGGGCTGGGGAACAGCGGCTCAGCCCACTGCCAGCTCCGCAGGGAAAAAAAAAAACCTGCAGAGAGATCAAAGGGATTCTCCACCCATTATTTTTAGGGGTGACTAAAATTTATGCACAAGTACCTTAGTACTCCGACTGCCGAAAGGACACATCAGGTAAAAGACCTCTGGGGGCTGCTTCACAGGCTAAATACTTCTTCTCGGCCACTCTAAGAGACCCGATACCACACAGGGTACGCGCAGAACCCCTGCAGCGCTATGTTAATTAATTAAAAAGAAAGAAAGAACATCAGAATTATATTTTGGCGACTTTATTTACCAAGGTCAAAATTTGCAACCATCTAATTGTTTCAACAAATATTTACAATTCATATAAAGCATGTACTTTTGTTTGGAAATAACCAGCAGAACAGTATTAGGTACTACATCTCTTACTCTCAGGATATAGATTTTACTCTCTTACAATCTAGATTTCGAAGTAAATCCAAAATAAGTACTTCATGATAAGTGATTACTTAAAGAGCAAACCCATGTTACTGTTTAATACTTCCATGATGAAAAATAAGCTGCTCTTTCCAAAACACTATTTTAAGAGGATAAAAATTTACTAACGTTATGTCTGGCAGCACTACGTTTGTTTCACTTGCTGAATACAGAAAGAATTGGCCACCATTGTTTTTACAGTCTTAACACTTGATAGCTTTTTTTAATTATTATTCCGTATTACAAAAGAAGGTAAAGGAACAACAGCACACAGGGAGGATCAACACACCGTACAGAGGAGTTACCAGATTAGTTTCATTACTGTAGGTCAAACCCTCCTAACCAGGCGCCGGACAGCGCACACACCCGACGGGAGACAGAGCCAGAAGGTCCGAGTCTCGAGGTGCGAAGCACGTTCCAAGGTGTTCATTTTTCCCGAAAATCCACTAACAGAAAGAGGAGGCCCCGAACGCCTCCTCGGGAGCTCCCTAACGCGACGGCTCGCTCCCCCTTGCCCGTGGTTGCTGACGTGCCAGGGCAGCCACGCTCTTGGACACGACGGCGACAGACGCCTGCTCCCGTTTGGCCTAAAGGAAACGCGGGTCTCGCGGGTCGTGTCCGTAACAATCGTGTTATTTAGAAACTCCAGAAAAAACAGTATTTTTATAGCCCGCTAACCATGTGATTGTGGAATGCAGTCTGTCTCATACCGTTGGCAAAGAGCTCTGCTTGCTAAGAAGTCCATTAATTCAAACATGAGTAAAATAAAAAGTACTGACTGACCATAGGATAAGCATTACACACCTAGGGAGGGAGTACACCTCTGAATTTCATCCAGATCTGAGCTAGCACAGCACACACACGTAGCTCTAACACCTTTGTAATAGCGTAGTCCATAGTGCAATTCCCGCTGACATAACTGGAAGCAGGATTCAACCCTAACTATGGCGAACAGTGTATTTATTATTCATGCAACAAGCACTGCAGACACGGCTTCTATTTCACAGAATCACAGAAGGGCCGAGGCTGGACAGGACCTCTGGGGGTCACCGCGCCCAACGCCCGGCCCAGGCAGGGGCACCCGGAGCAGGCTGCCCACCGCCACGTCCAGGCGGCTTTTGAGTATCTCCAAGAATGGAGATTCTACATCCAAAAGAGTCCTGATCATGTCAAACATTTAATTTTCACCTGAAACAAATGAAAATCATACAAACTACACTCTCTGATAGCGATCAGATCTCATGTGCAGATATTATCAACTGTGGGGAATAAAAAGCCCTGATTTCTTTTTTTTTTTCTTTTTTTTTTTTCCCAGTATTCTTTAGGATCCTTTTTTTTTTTTTTTGCAAGTTGCCTACAGACATACAAAATTAATTCAAATATCTCCTACACCAAAGAGGATCTCATTTGACTTTGTACTATCCATAAAAATATATGCTCGAAAATCTGGTTCACAAAATATTTCATTTGTTTACTAAAATGAAATATATAAACTGTCAAAATACGTATATAAACTCAATTTCAGAATTTGTAAAGATCACAATTTAGCTACAAAATATACCAACCATCTACCTGTTTTCAATAGAGTATTTTCTTACAAAGATACCGTTACTTTGCAAAATATCGCCTACCTTACAAAATTAGTCCGGAAATTTTGCACTACTTTTCAGCATATAAACCACATATTAGAACCTCATTAACCCTTTGGTATATATCTGCAATTTTTTATCCTTCTTCCTCTTCTATTTGGTTTAAATGTCCCAAAGCACAGTAGAATCTCCAGACAGAATAAGCAATGCATGTTTAACTGGATATATAATCAGCACATGATTTATTTCTCAATTCTAGATGTTTATCACGCCCAGCAACTAAGAACAACCGGTTGTGAAATCTTTCTTCAGAAACCTTTGCTCACCAGCATTCGTTCTACCAGGCTGGACTTTAAAAAAACTGGCTGTGCTGAATTCTCTCAAGAAAAGTCAACACCTTCCTCCATGTGCCTCAGACATTTTCAGGACTAGGCCTCTCGCTGCTTTCTGCAGATCCTTTCAGAATTTGATAAACACAGCAAACACTGAAAAAAAAACCCCAACTCCTTAAACTGTCAGCTGAGAAAGAATAAACATAATTTATACCTCTAGCAAAGTATTAGCTTTTTTATCATCTGCACCTGTAAATGACAACTTACAGGTTAAAATAAAAATATTTACATACAAATAACTGAAAGAAAAAGTAAGGATTGAAAAAGAGTAAGAAATCAAAACATATACTGGTTATAAGTGTTACTAATAACATCAGCTATGGCAAGGGTTCCATTTCATCCACATTTGAACTGTAACCAAATATGGCCTCCATTACAAGAGGTATTTGCAGAAGTTTTCAAAGAAATTCTAATCACCTGCCTCATAAAACATGACTGTCCTTTTATTGTAGATGCAATCTTGACTTTAAAAAGTTTC